AAATCGAATCACTGTCCCCCAAATCAGCCAAATCCAAATCCAGGGTGAATACTAGCCTCTTCACACAGGCCTACAGATTTTCCCCTTTAAAGGAGAAAAACACGGACTTTCCCTTTTGAAGGAGGAAACCACGGGTTTTCCCTTTTGCAAACAGCTATCTGCAGGCTGGCAGAGTTTCAGCCTGCAATGAGCTTCTTACAAAAAAGGTACAGAAACTTTCCTTTCTTCAGAGTCCTGTCCAGAGGGGGAGGTGTCTTTTACACATGCACACAAGTTGCCCCATGCAGTCAAATCACATTAGAAACTTTTCGGACTTGCCAACGTGGGAAAGTTGCAACATGAATAAGGTTGTGAAGACAGTGCAGTAAGGTAAAGACCCATTAATTCAACCCCCACAATCCCCAAAATTCTCATCCTCCTTAAACCCAGCTCTGCCCAAGTCAGAGGAGCCAGCGTGAGTCTGGCAAGATGCTCTAGACCAATGGGACTGAGTCCCACAAGGCAGGGGATGGCTGTGGTGGGCTGCCTGCATGGGGGTGGCAGGAAGCGATCTCCAAGGCCCGGTGCCAGGGGCCATGAGGGCTCATGTGTCTGAGGCCTGCTCTGATCTGAAACCAGAGAGGAAAGACTTACTCCAGGAAAAGCCAGGATTGACTGGGGAAGCCAAGACTCAGCAGCTTCAGAACCAGTTTGGAGTGTGGATCAGGGGATGGGAACAGAGTTGGGGACAGGAATTCAGCCCCTCCCCAGCTTGGCTCAGCCCAGCTGAGCAGGGCCTGCTGGGCCTCAGCTGATTTTGGGTGCCATCAGGGGAAGGTACCTGCCTGGGGGATGCATGCAGCTGCCTCCTGCAGGCAGTTGTTTGGAGCAGCCTGAGGCTCAGCAGGGGATGGTGTGGCAAAGGGCATAGCCTTGTTTGGGGACAGCATAATGCCCCCATGCTGTTAGGCACTGAGCAGGACTGGATGTAGCTGGCCATCACACGTGCCATTGGGAAGTGGAAGGTGTCAGGGTAGCCCGCTCCTGGTCCCCTCAGCGGCCAGGCTGGGGGTCCAAGTGGTGCAGTGGTGGGTTCCCTGGTTGCATGGGGCTGTGGCACCAAGACCACAGGATTGTGGAGCAGCTGCCAGGATTAAGCTGTCTCTCCATGGGTCGAACTGGCCCAGGCCGGAGCGCCCCTGGATGTGCCTGATGATGGAGGGATGCCACCAGCTTGTCCTGTGTTAGAAGGGAGAGCCTGATAGGGGCCCAGCTGCAGCGGGATTAGATGGTCATATTTATGCTACTCTGCTACTCATCCCCATTTCCCTGTCCCCATCTTCCCCACCTGCCCCTTAAATCTTGTAGGAAGCAGCCTTTTCTTCTTTCCTTTCTCCAAAGCAAGAAATAATGATTGGGGCACTGGTAGGCTTCCAAATTGCTTTAAAATTGTAGATATATCAATAAAACATCATATTCAACTGATATCTATATATATAGTGATGTTTCATTTTAATCATGGAAGAACACGGATTTTGGGGTTTTGAATCAGATAATTTTGGATTTTTTATCATAGAGTTTAAGAAAACCAGGATCCCTGGTTATGAGGGGGAGAGCAAGGAGGCTCTTTCCCTTGCCCCTTGTATTGAGTGCACGAGCCATTTGTGATTCAGTTCATGTGCTCACCCCTGCATACATTGTTTCCCAGGGAGACAGTTGAGCTGTCTGCTTGCCTGGTTCTCCTTTCCCTTTCCACAGGAGGAAATTCAGGAAGAGGCTAAACTTCCTGGCATGCAGTCACTCCACAGGCAATTTCTGTGATAAGGCAGTTCTCCGTTGTCCCTGCTTTGAAGACTTCTGTCTGACTGAACCCAGCCCCTAGTGTTTTAGTTTATTGTTGTGATGTTATCTGAGAGATGGGTACTTTGAGGACCCCTACAGGGTTTGGTATCAAAGGGCTTTGATCACTGGCTGTTTCATGCAAAACCAGTCAGATTAGCTTTATGGTCCAGCTAGTGGGTAATGACCTAGTATATGTTATAAATGAGCATTGGATAAATGCAGTATCCTATAAATGGACTAAAAAAGAAGAAACAGCTCCTATGTGTACTTGTGATAGATTAGGCATCCTGTAGGGTATTCTGAAAACTGGTGCCTCAGTCCACAAAGATAGCAGACAACAAACAAGTAACTCATAGAATGACATAAGGGAGTATAAGTATAGGCAGGTAAACCCTTTTCTGCCCTTTCATATGGTACAAACCAGTTTGACTACAGCAGTGGTTTCAAACATTTTTTCATTTGTGGACCCCTAAAAAATTTCAAATGGAAGTGTGGACCCCTTTGGAAATTTTGAATGGAGGTCCAGACCCCTTTGAATTGTAAGTGTAGGTATTCACATGCTTTTGATTGATCATAGTCATATTTTGTGGACTCCTTAGACAGCCTGCCAACCCCTAGGGATCTGCAGACCACATGTTGAAAACCCCTGGACTAATGTAACATCATTCTGTCCCATGGTGAAGCTGACCTGTTGAGTGAAATATGATGGTGATGACATTTCCATTCTCTGATTCGTAGGGCTGCTTGTGCTGAGGCAATGAAACCCAAAAGCAATTTTTAGTAAATCACTGGAATTGCCAGGGCATAAAAATACCACTTTATGTAATTCCCTGTTGTAGCATTGGGTACCTCGTAACCCAGAGTACTGGAACATGTCTCCAATAACTATATTGAATTCCAGGGTCTTAAAAATCACAAAGCATGCTGCAAACCTTTGGTTAATCTTTGCATTATCCCTAAAAGAAGGGAGTGGTATTATCATACTCAACCTACAGATGAATTTGAGGCACAAGGGAGATTAACTGCTGCATTTTCAAATGTTTCCCGTAATTTTTTTGTCATGCTCAATTTCCAAGGCTCGGTGAGCTATGCTTATTCCAAGGCTGCACAGCATGTGAGTGGTTGGTGTATGACTAGGTTTTAGGAGCTGCTGGCTGCAGCGCCCTACATTGAAGTAGGTGTAATGAACTACTTCAATAACAGGACCGGAAAAGGAATCAAGTTTTGTTCAAAACAAAATAGATCTAAATCCGTGTGTGTGTGGGGGGGGGGGGGGCGTTCTTTTTTTTTTAACTGATGTCATCAACCACTGTGCTCTTGTCTTCCTCAGGTCTCCCAGAATCGGTGAACTTTCGTTTTACAGGTATATAAACCATCCTTTCTCTGCTACAAGAGGCATGGTACTTTTTCTGCCTGTCCTTCTTTATTTTACCTGCTCATGCTTTTCCCTTCCTTTACGTCATGCACTTCTACAAGTCTTAAGGAGGAGTTTTAGAAAGATCTGAAATGTTTACTTTCTTATGCCACACATAATGGATTAGAATATACTAAAGACACTGAGTTTTCAGTAGGGTCTAGGAGTGGTTTAATGGGTAACAGGAGTGACCCTTTCCTGACCATTACCTCAAATCTTGAAGGCCTTATGCAGTTGAAAACCCTACTCATGTGAATAAAGATGTAAAAGTTTTTGACTCAGTAACTCAACAAATCACATTAGTAACCTGATGCTCTATTTAGTGTTTTCAACCCATTTTGATGTGCTGGGAATGAAGCATAGCCCATGTTCTTAAATGGAGCCTTTGTTCAATGCAGACTCTAATAGAGGTATATAGGAAGTGTGCATATGTGCATGTATTCACCCACCCACCCAGTCAACTTGGCTCTGCCCAGTGTACCGGTGCTGCCAGTGATTGATATGGGGCACTAAGGTAAACACGTTTTCTCTTGAATTTTGGAGTCCTGTGCATAGACATGTTCCTAGACAGTGATGTAAGTGGAGAAGGAGTATGAGATTACTGCGGTCAGGCAATCGCTGGGCAAAGGTGGGAAGCTATGCACGTGTTTTCAGATGCCTTTGCAATATGAATTATTTAAACTTGAGCAGTAAATGCAGTTGTGTGCTGATTTGCTTTCAGTGTCTGATGGAGAACACGTAACCCCCGAGATGGCATTTACAATTCATTTGGACTCAGTGGGTCAGCAACCTCCTGTGTTCCAGACCACCGCTCCATTTCTGGAGGTCAGCCAGGGTGGCAAGGCCACTCTCGGTAAGGAGCAGAGAACAGGAGCAAGAGCTGAATTCTAGGTCAGGGTGACAGAAGGGACCAGCTGGTGGACCTTGGCCTGACATGCTGGGCTTATCACCCGTGAGTCTCACACAGGCAGCTGGGCAGATTTCTGGCCTGGACCCATCTCTCACCATTGTGGGAGGGATCTTGGCATGTATTGAAGCACCTGTATTAGGGGCAGAGCAGAGCCCTTGGGAGCTATTCTAAGAGGTCAGTATACACAAACTGCTGCACCCATTTTAAGAATCTAACGTACTCCTCCTTTGTATGGCCAGCCATGTTTATGGGCTTGCGTGTTGGAGGGATGCAGTCACAACCCTGCCTCAGTCTTATCTTTACCTCCCTTTTGAATAAGTTGAGACCAGGGGTTTGTCTTGCTAGTGGTACCCATGTTCTGTTGAGCCCAGGGGCTAGGATTCTGGCCAGACCTTCTGTTAGCTATGCAAATGGGTAGCCCCTCCGCCCCCATGCCACACCCCCCTTCACATTTCATCTCCACCTCAACGACAGTCATAATTTATATCTGCCATGTAATACATTCAAACATATTGTAGAAGATAATAACTTGTGCAGCTCACTAAAAATACAGAACTTCCTACACTGCCATATAGATAAACTGACTGCAGCCCTCTCATTTCCTGTATGCTTGATCTACTTGTACATTACCAGGAGTTCAGTGTCATCCTAGATGTCACTTGCTAAGCAGATTTCCAATAATATCTCCAATTTAACCTATGACATTGGCATCACCAAAGACTAATAATCTCCAAGCAGGCAGGCAAACATACACGTGTTCAAATCCATTAATTTCCTGATGTCTGCATGTGGCTTTCACAAGACCTATGAACAATTCACTGTATAGTAGATAACAGTTGTGACACCTAGCTGTCTGTCCTTCTTGTTCCTGTGCCAGGGGTACAGCTGAGAGTACATGATGCGGACACAGCTCCTGAAGATCTCTTCTTTGAGCTGGTAGAACCTCCTCGCCATGGGGTTCTACTCAAAAACCGCACCAGAGTTCATGACCACTTGAGAGCAGGTGAGTTACACAGGTCTCTGAGTCAGAGGATGGATTACAGGGAGAACAAATAAGTCCAGCATATTTTCTCTATCTGTTTGTTTTTTTCACATTTAATAAGCAGTTGAGCTAGAATGTTTATATAATAATAGAATTATAATCATATCTGTAATTTCCTTATATATTTTCACATATATAATATAAATTTAATATATATAAACATTATAAAGGTAGAGGTATCTGCTTTGCAGGCCATTGACACCTATTGGGGCAGCAGAGGCACAGGGCTCTACTGTTCTTAACTTTGCCATGAGGAGGCAGTGTGGTCAGCACCATGTTCCAGGTCAGAGGCGGGCAGTTATTTCAGGCGGAGGGCTGCTTACTGAGTTTTGGCAAGCTGTTGAGGGCCACATGGGTAGCTCCACCCCTTGACAGGTGCCCTGCCCCCTGCTTGCCATCTTGGGGTTGTTCGTGCCTGTATTTATGGGATGAAGTTCACCCCTGTGGAGACTTAAGCAATGCATAAGCTTTTTGCTGGCCTGCTCTACAGTATTTTGCCCCTGACTAATTTGGCCTGTAGTCTCACCCTAAGAGTCTGAATATTCCTAGGGCCTGT